AGGCAACCTGGTTTTCAGACTCTCAAGTTTGTAATCTAGGCATCATCTTTGATTCATCAGTTTCCCTCCCCTCCGTATCCAATCTATTGCCAAGTCTTATTGCTTCCCCCTCCTCTCCATCTCTCCCTTCTTTATACTCATGCCACAACTGTCTGAATCCAAGCCCTCATCTCCTCTCCCCTGGACTATTGCAAGTTTACTAACTGGTCTTACTTATCCATTCTCTCCCTTCTCCAACCCATCTGCTATATCTGAGCTATCAAACATCAGCCCACAGGCCTGGAACACTCCCAAGTGAAGCCTGAACCAGATTAAAATGTAATTAGGAAATATTTAACAAAATAAATAAAAACACAATAGAACATAGATAAGGTTAATATGTGGTTTTCTAAGTCAACATGCCAGTATGGATCCTTATGTTTGGATTAGTGGCCCTCATTTCTATTTGTGTTTGACACCATTGCTCTACAGAGCTGCCAAATTGATAGTCCCAAGGCACAAGTCTGACTAGGTCACTTCTTTGTTCACTATCTATCCTCAGTGACACTCCCTTGCCTCTAAGATAAAATATAAACTCCATTTGGCATTTAAAGCTCTTCCCAATCTGTCTCCAGTCTTTCTATCTTTCCAGGCTGGCTACACACTACTGTCCCTCATATGTTCTACTCACAGGCTCAATGGTTCAGCCTAACTGGCTTCTTTGGTATTTCCCACTTACCAAATCCCAGCCTCTTTGCCTTAGCTCAAGCTGTCCTCCAGCCCTTGGGTGCTTCCCTTTTCAGCTCTGCCTCTTGGAAGCTCTGTCCCTCTTCCAGGCTAATTCCTGAAAGGGCTTTTTCCTTCAAGCAGGCTTTCCCAGTTCCCCATTTACTAGTATTATTTTGTATATCTCTCCTGAAAAGTAACATGGCAAAATCCAATGATTCCTAACCTTTCTTGTTCCATGGCCCACTTTGGCAGGCAATCTGATGAAGTCTTTGGACCTCTTCTCAGAATAAGGTTTTTAAAGGCATAAATGAAGATGCACAGACTTACAAAGAAAACCAATTATATTGGATGTGATTGTTAAAATTTTAAAAATTCATAGAATCCAGGTTAAGAACCACTGCTCTGACGTACAGAGCTAGCCTTGGAATCAGGGTGATGTGCCCTTAAGCTCTTCCTCTGATACGTTCTGACTGTTTGACCTGGACAAGTCGCTTAAGTTTTTAGGGTTCCAGGCACTCTCTAAGATTATAAGTTATAGAACAACACTACTGGGTATTGAAGGGTACCTCACAAAGTCCCCCCTACACTGGTGAAACGATTGGTCCAGTCAAAAAAAAATCTTTTGTTCATTTATCTGTGACTATTTCCCCTAGTAGAATATAATCTCCTCGTGGCCAGGGACTATCTCATTTCTACATTTGTACCTCTAGCTCCTAGCATGTTAGCTGATTAATAATAAATGACTGTGGTTGGTGAGGGAGGAAGAGAGGTACAGCAGGAATGGAGAGCTGGAAAGGACTTTAGAGGTCATTTAGTCCAACCCTCTTATTTTAAAGATGTGGAGACTAGAGATGTTAAGTGACTTACCTAAGTTCACACAAGTAGTATAGGGCAGGGGTGGGATTTGAATCCAAATCCTAGCAGCTTCAAGGTCATCCCTCTTTCCCCTGCCCCATAGCACCCCAAGTTAGTAGAGACTTTTCAGGTCTCCAAAGCTCAACAGCGGGACCCGAATATCTCCTTCCCTAGGTGTCTTCCTAAACATCAACTGCAGACATTAGGAATCCAGTTGCCGAGAGGCCCCAGAGAAAAGTAAACATCTGGTTGGCACGACTCCGCGAGAGATCCTGCGGAAAATGCGCCTTTTATATAGTCTCTCTAATGGGCTGTGAACCTCCCCTCACAAATCACTGGGAGGCGACAACGATTCCTTTGTTTTCCACTTGGAGCACTTCACTGGGGATTTTCAATTCGGGCGTCGATTGGGATTGCACTTACGGCACTTGGCAGTCGGGCCTGGGCATAAATTCATGCTAGTTTGCACCGAGCTCGAGAGAGAGAATTTCCTGAACTGCTCTTATTTCCTGAACTGTCTTACTGTGAAGGTGACGTGGCTTAGGCGAGTCAACCCTGTCACATTCCCCTGTAATATGTTACCTATCTATCTACCTTAAGACTCAGCTCCAAGGAGAAATCGCAACTGCTCCCCGGAAGCTCTCATTCGGGTTAGAGATGAAGAACCATAGAGGGAGAAAGCGAAAAATGACATTCTAGCTCTCTTCACTTTGCTCAGTCCTCAGCATCTCCTGTTCTCCGCACAGATCAAAGCCTCAAATTTACTCCTCCTCCCTCATCCCACCTCCAAGCCCTAACCACTCATTGTTGGTTATTGGTTCCCATTTCTAAATAGTCTGTAACAATATCCTTCTGACCTCAGAAGCCAAGGAAGGGTTATTTTGCATACTGGGAAACTGAGGGCAGGGACCTTTTTTGTCTGCTTTGTGTCTGCAGGGTCTAGCATAGTGTTTGACAAAAGCTTAATAAAAGCTTCTTGACTACGACCCAGGAGGTGAAAGGAGCCCAGTCACTTTCTGACTTTTAGGATGTTAGGAGCCTTTTAAAAATAATTTTCCTCTCCCACCCCCTCCTCCACCCCTGTCTCTGGGAGAGATGTTCCTTTCTTGCCTCTGAACTGGGAGTAAAGCACATAGCAAAGATGAAATCCATAGCTGAAGCAGATTTTTTGGTAGAAAGATAGGAATTGTCTTCAACCACCTAAAAATCATTTAAAGAAAGGAAAGGAGAGACCTGTTCCATCCCTAAGGAACCAGGACTCTGTGAGTTCTCTGTGACCTCTCTCTCTCCCTCTCTCCCTCCTTCTCTCTCTGTCTCTCTGTCTCTCTCTCTCTCTGTCCTCTCTCTCTCCCCTGGTTCTCTCTCCTGGTTCTCCTATCTGTCCAAAGGTTCCTTCTTAGTCTCTTTGGCTGGTTCTTCACCCAAGCCATGTCCACTAAGTGTGAGTGTCTCCTAAGGCTTTGTCCTAGGCACTCCTCTCTTTTTGCTCTATACTGTCTCACTTGGTGACCTTATCATTTCCCACAGTTCAATTATTATCTCTACGTAAATGATTTCCTATCTATTCTACCCTAGTAGTCTTCTTGGCCTACAGCCTGTGCATCTCCAACTACCTCTTAGACATTTTGCACTGGCCATCTTACAGGCACTGCAAACTCAATATGTCTAAAACGGAACTCATTTTCTTTTCCCCAAACTCTCCTCCACTTCTGAACTTTCCCCCACCATGCTCCCAATCATCCCAGCTCTCAACGTCAGTCTCATCCTTGACTCCTCATTCTCACTCTCCTCACATATCCAATCTGTTATCAAATCTTGTCACTTCTACATTCACAACATGTGCCATATAATTCCCTTCTCTTCATTCACACAGCTACCCTACTACAGGACCTCATCACCTCTCATCCAGATTACTGCAACATTCTCCTGGCATCAAGTGTCTCCCCACTCCAATCCATCCTCCACTTAGCTGCCAAGATGATTTTCCTGAAATGTAGGTCTAATGATGTCATCCTCCTAACCAATGAACTCCACTGGCTCTGTTAATAATTAGCAATAATAGTAGCTAATACTTATATAGACTTTAAAGTCTACAAAGCCCTTTATGATCTTCCTGCATCAAATAAAAAGCCCTGTTTGCCACATAACGATCTTTACAATCCCTTCCTTTCTAGCCAGCCTTCTTAGATCCTAATCCCTTTCAGGTATGCTGTGATCCAACTGTACTGTTCTACTCGCAGTTCCTTGGGATCCTTCACCTTCTTTCTCCATGACTGTTCTCCACGCCTGGAATTCCCTGCCTTCTCACCTCTGCCTCAATTTCCCTGCCATCCTTTAAGACTCAGTTCAAACATTACCTTCTGCAGGAATCTTTTCCAATCCACCCTCCCCTCCTAGCTGTTAATACTTCCCCTCTCAGATTGCCTTCCATCCACTCTGTATTCTCTTGTATGTACCTAATTATTTACATGTTGTCTCCTCCATAAGAATGTATGCTCCTTGAGGACAGGGACTGGCTTTTGTCTTTCTTTGTATTCCCAGCTTAGCACAATACCAGGCACATAGTAAGCACTTAATAAATGCTTGTGACTGGCTGCTACTACCTATATGCATTTCTCAAATCATAAAATCATAGATTCCCAGAGTTGAAAGGAATCTTAGATTAGGTCATCTGCTTCAGCTCCCTTCTCAGGGCTGATTTTTTTTTACATCATCCTCAAATTTGGCCTTTTCTTGGATCCCTCCAGTGTAATAAAGAACTCAGACCCTACCTATTTCACTGACATTCCAGGTCAGTTCAGCTTCCATTCCCTGAAGGGTAGAGGCAGTCTTGAGAGTACAAATCAGCCCGGGTCTAAGGTGGGCACACAAGATGAAAACTCCCCCTCAAAGGGACAGCATGTACCCAAGTAAATTCTATCACATTCACCTCCCCCTCCCTTTGTGGGGAACTGGAGAACTGGGTCACAAGAGCAAAACTGATCATTGAGTGACATCTTCCCAAGAATGTGAGGCAAATACAGACTTTACAGAGACTAAGCCCCTTGGAAGCTTTAGAATTACTGGCTGAGGTGGATGTTGTGACCTCTGGGGATTTGACACATCATTCAGTCCCATTTGAAGTTCCACAAGTCTTAGGCACCAGCTCTGCTGCCTCTATCCATCTCCTCAAGTACCCTTGTTCTTCTGACTTGGTCTCTATCTATCCCTAGATACCTTCTGATTTTCTCTGTCTTTGTCTGTATTCCTTCCCTATCTCGTGTCTCGTCTCTTTTCACCTCTGCTTTTGCCTCTATCTTCCTCCATCTCTTTGTCTCCATCTCCTTTCGCCTCTGTCTCTGTCTCTTGCCTCGGAGATTTTGAGGACCCAGTTCTCCAGCTGTAAGAGGCGAGGTTATTGTCTGGTCCAGGCTCCCAGTGGGTTTTTAGAAACTTACCTTCCCCTAGGGGGTCCAGAGTGTGCAGCATGAGCTGGTAGATGGTGCTGCGAATGGTGCTGTTGTGTAGCGAGGCTGCACTGCTTCCTCGGGTCAGAGTGGACGGGAGCTGAGCAAGGGGAGACACCACAGCGGCCTCAGTCTGAATCGCACCCGCTTCAGATCGGGAGGAGGCATCGTGGAGGACGCAGGTCTGATTTTCCAGACTGGATTAGCACCTGAACAACAAAGCCCTCCCCACAACTCCCTACTGCCCTGTGGCTAGATTACATGGTGACCAGAGGAATTCTGCAAGATCTTCAAGGTGATTTAGCAACTCCCACTACACTGGGAAGAGATCAGTGCATGCAGACACCCCCAGACACAGGCACTGATGTTGGGTGCACTCACATGACCATATCCACCCATAGCAATAAACATACACATGCCTGTGCACATACACAACATGAGTGCGCGCGCGCACACCACACACACACACACACACACACACACACACACACACACACAGCACTCTGCATTTGAGGCCATCTTGCCCTCTAGTGGCTACAATATAGATCACCCAGGCTGTTAATACACCTTCTAGCTTTAATAAATTCCCAAAGTCACTGAAGCAAGAGTTGGGGGTTTTTCTCTGGATTTAGGGGGAGGAGAAGGAGAGAGAGAAAAAGAAATAGTGGCCATGTGTCTATGGGTATAGCCCATAGGGTCTCCCTTGGAAAATCTCTGTGTAACCATACTCAGGTATGTTTTTTTCCCAAGACCCACCCCCAAATCCCAGAGAGAACCCTCAGACAAATTGGTGGTCAAAGAGCTTAAGGCAGTTATAGTTTTCCGAAATCCTGAATGCACATCCAGGAGTACCCTTCTTATCTCCCATTATAAGTGTATTTTCTTTGAATTTGGACCTCATAGGTCTCTCTCCTTTTCATGCTTCACATCATTTTAGACTCTTAGCTCATAGTGTTAAAACTGGAAGGGACCTCAGATATCAAGTAGTCCAACCCCCTTGTTTTACAGAGGAAGAAACCCAAGCTCAGAGGATGTTGATGACTTGCCCGCAAGAGGCAACATAGGGCAGAAGAAAGAGCCCTGGGCCTGCAGAAGTCAGGATGCTCTCTGAATCCTATGATTATTCTGATGTGTGATCCTGTGCAAATCACTTCACTTCTCAGAACTTCAGTTTCCTCATCTGTAAAATGGGTATAAGGCTAACAGCACCTACTTCACAGGGCTATTTTGAGGATCAAATGAAACATTATAAATCAAGAGCTCTGAAAAACTTAAGTCCTATATAAATAATATCTTCTTGCCCAGAGACACATAGCTATTCTAGTTGCAGACTGGGACTAGAATGAAGACCTCCTAACTCCCAGTCCATCACTGCCTGGGATCCCATCTATTAAACCAAGGAAGACACACCTTCCCCCCAAAATGCCCCCTCCCCCAACCCTGGGCTTCCCACACCATGTCAAGCCCCTGATAGCACCCACCTTCGATTTGTTGCTATCTTCCTGGTCATCCACAGCTATGTCCCCATTGCCTGTCTACAAAACAAGGACAGGAGTCACAAGAATGTCACACCAGTAACAGCCCTCAGCACACCACACCCCACCTGCATTCTGTGTGCTCAGAAGCCACCCAAAGCCATGCTATTTTTATCTCACTGTTTGGGACAGGATAAAGCATTTCTCATCTATATCCAGGAATTAATCAAGTTTTAAAAATTATCTAAATGGGTCTAAATCCCTTAGATTGATATTTAAGATCCTCTATAATCTGAGCCCAAACTACTCATTTCCTTTTTTAAATTTTTTAAATTTATTTTATTTTTAATTTGTGAAATAAAACAAGCATTTCCATAATGTAGTATAATTAAAAAGATGATTGCACATGAAACTGCAAATCGATTATGTACAACTTGCTGTTCCTTTTAAATATATAATAAATAAATCATGCAAATTTCTTTTTTTTCCTTCCCTCTCCCCATCCCCCTACTTTTTTCTCAATATTGCCCTTTAGGCCTGCACTGATGTAGTCCATGATCTCCAGCATACCATGTTCTTGCTCATCTCTGAGCCTTTATCCCCCTCTATCCCTCTCTCCTGCTTCCTTAGGGTCATTCATCCTTCTTCTCTACTACCCAGATCCTAGCTCCTATCTCGAAGTCTTCCTGCCAACCCAGCTGGAAGGATTCATCCCTTCTGGGAGTACTTATTGTCTGTATCCTTCAGGTAGCATTTATCCTATACTGCCTTGTGACAGCTGCTGCATTGTTATTTCATTTTTCACGTGGGCAACTATTGTCTCTCTAATCACATTATAAGCTCCTGGAGGTCAGAAACACCATCTAATAGGTTAATTAATAATTAATTGTGCTTATCATACAACATGAATTAATAATAATAATATATGACATTTGTAGAATGCTTTGAACTTTTCAAAGTGCTTTCACGCCTTTCATTATTATAATAGGTATTTGGCAATTTTTCTTTTGGATAAATAATAATGTAACTTCTGCTATTACCTACAGTGCTGGCATGTCTCAGAGCCTCCCTTACTGACACCAATTTGTGCCCCAATTAATCATCATATAACCCATTAGGCTCCCTTTGACATTGGATGTAATGGTTTCTAGTTCACTCTATAAGTGTAGCCTGGGTATTATTGACCTGAACCCCTTGGCTATTGATGGACTCTTAAAACAAGATTTTGATGGAATGGCATAAAGATAACCAAACTGAGGAAGCTGGGCAACACCTGAACCTGAGTTTCCAGTGCATTGTTTCCTACCTTTCTTCAGTCTATGACACACCAGTGAATTTATTAGGTTATACAGGGTCAGAGGTGAGGGCAGGAGGAAGAGTATCTCCAGTCTAGTTGATCCCACCCAAATACAGAGAATTATATAAAGCCATTCTATAAAGCTTTTAGACAGTTGATTCCTACCTTCAGGTGGATATAATAAGCAACATTTTACCTAAGGTAGAACTAGTCATCTGCTATTTTGACTCATCAATGACGTCTTCTAAGAGTTTAACTCAAAAGTACTTTCTACTAAATGAATTTTTTTGTTTATAGTACTTTTCATTCCCATTAATAATAATATACAATTATTTCTAGTTTTGGCCAGAAACCCTGAGGGTCTTTCCCTCTCAGACTGATTTTTTTAACTAGGTAAAAGAGAACATTCTTTGCCTCATTTTTTACCTACCCTTAATCACTGAATGGGCATTGCCTCAGTCAAACTGAGACCTCAGAAAGACCTTGGCTTAAAAAGGCTGCGTCCAGGGCCATCTCCAGTCATTCTGATTTATAACTTGCCACTGGACCCAGATGGCTGCAGAGGAGAAAGTGACTTTGCATAGCCCTGCCTCACTTAAATCCAATCCACTTGCAAGTTATGGCATCACCTTCCTGGTGCCATGGTCCTCTTCGAGAATGAAGGATAAACAACAACAAAAACAATACAAAATGCCTGATATTTGTAGATATTTGATATTTCATCTGATTTTTCATCATCTAATTTAATTCTCACAATAGAAGTCAGGAAGGGGTATGGTAGAACCCTGTCAGTTAGGTGGCACAGTGGATAGAGTGCCAGGCCTAGAATCAGGAAGACTCATCTTCCTGAGTTCAAATCTGGCCTCAGACATTTATTAGCTATGTAACCCTGGGCAAGTCTCAGAAGGATGGCATTTATAATATGCTGCCTTGTGACAGCTGCTGCACCGTTATCTGATTTTTCATATGTGTAACTATTGTCTCCCTAATCACATCATAAGCTCCTAAAGGTCAGGGATGATCGTATCTCAAAAATGCTATCTAATAGGTTCATTGTACTTATCACATGACATACAGGCATAGTGGGAATAAGCACGTGGTACAGCTGTCATAAAAGACTTTGGAAAGATAGGTTGAGTCAGACTGAGAGTGAGCTCTTTGACCATCCCTGCACTGCCTCCTGTTCTTGGTATTGAATTCTTCAACCTGAATCTCTACTCCTCTATTCCTGTAACTGGAATCTTGCTTCTGTCTCAATCCCTTGACTATTAGCTCTTTTTTTTTTTTAAAGCCTTTACATTAATCTGGCCTGGCTGTTTGACTTATGTGCTCTTGGATTCATCCTTGCCTTTCTACTGTCAGGATTGGATTGCCATTCTACAGCCCTAGTTTTAAAAGAACTGAAGTGTAATTTTGGTATCTCCTCCAGCACAAAGCAGAGTGCTTTGCACACAGTAGCTACTTAATAAGTGTTTGTTGAATGAATGAATGAATCACACAGCTAGTTGGCAGCAAAGATGAGGCTAGAACTCAAATCTCATGGAGGTCTCTCTTGGCCCAGGGTTCTTTCAACTGGACAATGCAGAAAATAACTCAGACTTATAGCCCTAAAACCCTCATCTGAAGCATTCTGAAATCTCACTTGAACAGTTTTTTTATCCACATTTGGACAAGTCTGGCATACTCATTTAGAAAGGAGTATATCCACAACTGGATAGTTTTGGTATTATACCCACCTGTAAACAAATACTGATGCTCCAGTCACCCTCCTATCTTTCTACTGTGACCACCACAATTTCCCCTGTCTATACTCTGATCAAATATTTGCAAAAACTAAGTGAAAAAACCCAAGAGTATATCTTTAGGACAAAATTGATGTTGACTGGCATGTAGCCAGGAAGCTAAGTTTTAGAGTGACACTCCTCTTTTTTCAAAAATGATATACTAAGACACTGACCCCTCCCTCCCTCTGTCCAGATACCCTTTTGTTTCAGAGTGATATCAACCAAGTTCAAGAAACCTTTTGGTTGCCATTGTAGGGGATGGGATGGGAGGCTATAAATGATGATGACCACTTGGTTGACCATCCCTTCCCTGACTCCTATTTCCTATTAATGTGAGGAGTTGACTTCCCTGCTTTCTAGCCAAGTATAAGTGATAGATATTTATTTAATATTCAACAATCAACAACACTGGCACAGAAAGTGCCTAACAAATGTTGAATGAATGAATAAATGGAAGATCTTTTCCCAAGAGTACTAAAGGGAGTGGGACAAGAACATGAGGGCCATAGACATAATTTGGAAACACATTACTATAATGACTTGTCTGAACTTGTTGTGGAAGGGAAGACTGACCACATAATAGTAGCAGCTCACATTTAGGTAGTGTTTTAAAGTTTGTATACTCATTACCTTGTTTGAGCCTTTTAACAACCCTGTGAGATATAATAGGTATTATCATACCCATTTTATAGATTAGGAAGCTGAGGCTGAGAGAAGTTAAATGACTTGCCCAGGATCATATGGCTAATAAGTGTCAATGGAGAGTGGGATTTGAGACCAGGTCTTTTCCACTCCAAGTCCATCTCTATATCGTCTACTCTACCACGGGGATCTGTGATGTTTCTAATTATTCTAGACAACCCAGACAAATTTGTACTTGATGTAGCTAACTTACAGGACAAAGGAGAAGAATGAAGACTAAACCTGGGATCATTTATAAAAGAATTCCCAGGTGAGGAAACATCCCCTACTACTGAGAGACTAAGTGACTTCCTCAGCGTCCCAAAGCCAGGATGTGTTAAGACGCAGGATTTGAATCCAGGTCTTTTTGACTTTGAAGCCAGATCTCTATCAACTATGCCATATTTGCTCTCTATAGTTCTGTTTTTTAAAACCCAAGCACAAGGATGAATGAATGGTAGGGAAAAAGTACAAGTGTTTGTTATATGCACAAAGTGTTCCCCCAAATCTACAGCTGTCCTTGAGTCCAGTTCCTTTCTCTTCCATCCCAAAGGTAGCAAAGGCACTGAAGTTCAATGGAAAGAGCATTAGATTTAATCTCAGAGGACCTTAGTCCAGATCCTGTCTTTGGCACTTCCTACTGTAACTTTGATCAGGACCTCATTGGACTTTAGGTTTCTCAATGGTAATAAGGGAGGTAAACAACATGATATCTAATATCCTTTCTAACATTAAACTCTTTGCAATGAAGCAAGTTCTACGTATGACTTCTCCCATCTCCTAGTCCCTATTTTCTTTCAAGAAAGACCCCTTCTCAGGAACCTTGTTCAGCATTGACTTTTTTTGGAGGTAATTGGGATTAAATGACTTGCCCAGGGTCACACAGTTAGTGAGTATCTAAAGCTGGATTTGAACTCAGGTTCTCCTGATTCCAGGGCCAGTGCTCTAACCACTGCACCACCCAGCCACCCCTAGAGTTGACTTTCTAATGCTTCAAATTTTCAAGGATCCTCTATTGTAAACTTAACCTCTTAGACTCATCTCCCTTGCCGTGTTTCTCTATCCCTAACCTTGCTGTCCTCTCTCCCCCTTCCCCACCAATTCCCATGTCTCCTCTAAGTTACTCATTTTTTGAAGCCAAAGTGAATTAAAATAAGTGAGACAAGTCGGTCACCTTTTCCTTCAGTCCTCCTCTACCCTCATTACCTTGTGGGGGAAGAAAAGGGAGGAGGTTGCTGTATTAGATATCTACCAATGCACTAAGTGAAGACTGCAGCCCAGTAATCAAATGTGCACCCTTCCATGAAAAAGGGCACTCTAGGAAATGCATTGCTCATTTGAATAGTGGAAGCTAAACAACTTATGGGAGTGAGGGCTAAAGTTTTGCATTAGACTCTTTTAAACCATGACTATACATTACTGACATGGCTTACCTAAGATAAAGTATGAGATCTTCAAAGTGTCTCTTTATGAATTCAAAAGAGAATAATCTGCCCTTGGATTAACTAAAAAGTCTGGGTGAATAGTTACACTGTCTAGCCAAATCACAGAGGCCTTGGTCACTGAAATTCAGGTCACAGGAGGGTCTAAGAAACACAATTTCTCTACTTCTTGGTGGAGGTAGAGGAGGAAATCTGCTCAGCATTGTAGCTAAGCAGACAAAATCCACCTATTTAAAAAAAAAAGTTTTGAAAATCTAACAGCAGTCCTGTCTTAGAGCGATCCAAGAATTAACACCAGTCAGAATTAGTGAATATTCCTAATTAAAGATTTAAAAAGGGAGAAACGAAGCTTTATTGTTTCAAAATACAGAATGTAATGCTTAGCTGTTATCAATACACTTCTAGAAATTGTTTGCTATCAGGAGACTTTTCCAGTCTCAGCTCAGCCACTAATTCTCTGGTTGAACTTGGGTCACACTTAACTTCCCTGGACCTCATTTCCTTATTCTGTAAGATGATGTTTTGGGCCTAGCTTATCTTTACACCCCTTGCCAACTGCAACATCCTATGATTCTAACAGAGATCCTGAGGGACCTTAGCCAACAGAGAAGACATTTTGATAATAAACACATTAGCTTGTTGCACAAATTAACGGCTATTAAGGTAGTTGAAAACAGTCTGTTTCTTTAGTACATTATACCTCCCCCTTGAAACTTTGCTTTTGTTACTTATTTAGAATACATTGTTAGAGCTGGAAAGGACTTTGGAAATCATCTAGTAAAGCCTTTTCATTTTACAGATGATGAAACTATGGCCCAGAGATAGGGTCTCACAGGCAAAGTTGGGACTAGAACTCAAGTCTGTCAGGCCAGTGCTCCTTCCACACTAAAGAAATGATGAAGGAGGCAGTATCTCCTGCATAGTTTTGCCAAGACAGTGCTGGGGTCAGCACCAGAGCCACTTCAGATTAAGTAGCTAAACCCTTCCACCCTTTGCACCCACCGCATCAGCCAATATCAGGCCCATTTCTAGAAACCTGAGATGGTTGGGTTGTGAGCCTTTCCCCATCTTGGTTCACATCTTCCAGAAACAGAACATATATAAGCTTTTGCTCAAAATCCTCTGAATCCATTTCCACAATTTAAAATGTATTTTCCTAATGAATTTGCTGATATAAAGAAATCACAATTTCTTTCCCCCACTCAACCCACAGCTTCTCCATTTCTTTAAGGTTGGAATGAGAGCTGCATTAGGCTATGAACACTAAGGACCACTCCCATGGAGAGACACTAAAATATAGGGCATTAGTAGGACATTAATAGGAATTAATGTGCTAATTTATCCCTCCCTGAAATACTCATTGTCTAAACTACAAACACTGCAGGTTTCCAGCATGTGTTATCTTATTTGATTTTAGTCTACCTAGATTGTAAACTGCCAAAGGGAAGGACAAGAATTATGTCTATCTCTCTCAGAACATATTGGGTACTCAATAAGGACTTGCTGTCCTTGGACTTAGCTGGAAGATCACAAGTTTAGAACTGGAAGGTAACTTAGAGGCCACCTAGTTTCTTCCCTTTCACTTTATAGGTGAGAAAACTGAGAATAAATGACTTGGCCAAGGTCACAGAGCCAGGAGGTGACAGGCAGGATTTGAACCTGCCTGGTTCAACAGGAGACTTCTCTCCCTGCCCTTCCTCCCCACTCCTAATTGTGAAGAAAGGGACTTGAACAAAGAACCTTTCCCTCTTCTTTCTTCTCCTCTCTTCCTCCAAACAACAGCCTCTAACGCCTATTTGTGAACTAAGAATGTGTTCAGAACGCTCTTGGAATGCTGTTTTCCATGGAATGATGCACATTTGGTTATTGAGCTGCCCTCTTTACTTCATGGGCAGCTGCTTAATAGAGTTCCTGTCTCCCACCTTAATAACTACTCCTTCCCCTCCCCTGACACTTACCCAATGCTGGAAAGACTCCCATTCATCTTTGGGACTGAGATAGCACATCAGAAGGCAGTAAGTAGCAACCAGGTAAGGTTGCTAAAATTGGAAGATGTCCCTCCTGGATCATTTCATAGACTGACCAATCAGTGCAAATGTCAAAATCCCCTGCTCCCTTATTATTTGATTCCCTTAGTAGTTAAGGAAAGCTACCAGATAAACCTGTGCTGTTTGGGGTTTGACTAATGCAAACCAGTGTGCTCATCCAGGTACTGTGTACCATAATAAAATCCCCATATGCTTTTCTATTTGACCATTTCATATCACTCCCTGCATATCCTGAGGCTTAGATAAAGGAATTTCTTCCCTGAGAAACCTCATCCACTCAACTTCACACTGATGGAATCTTAATAAAGCTGCCTCCAGCCCCAATATTCTAACTACCTTATGGGCCTCACTGAACAGCAGGCATGTCCTGATTTGACCACACAATTTAACCACACTACAGGCCCCCAAACCCAATCTAGCCACTGCTCCCACCCCCAATATCTCAATTTCCTCATATGAACTCATGCCTCACTAGAACAGTAGCCATGTTCATGAACTCATGCCTCACTAGAATAGCAGGTGTGTCAACCATATCCATCTGGTCTTAAGACAGGACCAGCCAATCAGAAAGCAGCACTACCAGGATGCCTGAGCAGAAAGCAGACCCCAAAACAATAGAAAAGACTTTCCCTAAGTAGGTTACTGTGCAGTAATAGCAAAAGCTGTCCTTTAGGTGAACTTATGATACAGAGAGGCTTATTATAATATCATAATCATACATACATGCCCCCCAATGGGTTTTTCTATATGCACTATGAGTGATCACATATGCAGTTCCACGAAGACTGGGACCCCTCCCCTATTGCCCAATCCCTTAACAAACTCCTCCTTTATTTTAATATTTATATAGTCTGTAATGATGTAATTGCATCTTTTGTTCTACAAAAATCCCTGTCTTGCTCTGTTAAGCTGCTGGCTCCTTTCTGGAGCTCAGCCCACTTTCTGAAAAGCATAATTCTCAATCAATGCCTTTGCTTGGGTTGGACATAGTCTGAACCTGCGAATTCTTTCGAGATGACCCCCCACAACACACCATGAAACTGCACTACCTCTCCCACTTTCCTACTGGAGGACTTGCCACTTGGAATTGGTTCCAGGCGCAATGTTTGGCCCACCCTTTCTTTCTACCCAGATTCTTTCACAAACCCAGAGAATCCCCCCTTCATCATCCAAGTATCCCTCTTCTGCCTCCCAAAAAAGGGGAATCAACCTTTTACAAAGTCCTCTCTCACCCCACCCTCTGTGGATTCTGCTCTTACCTTGCTGAGGCCTGTCCCAACCATAATCTTAGCCATTGTTCTCCTGTTGAGCTGTTCTTTGACCCAGACTTCAAGTTCTCGGTTCCATTTCATGGTAAAGACATAGAAGGCATAGGCCATGAGGAGCATTAAGCTCTCCCACCAGGTGATCAGGCTGTCCAAGAAGAAGAGGATAAGCATCATCAAGTCAAATATATAGAAGGAGACATCGCGGAACAGGGGCCACCAGGTGAGGTTGAGGACTTCTCTGGAGAATAGGGCACAAGTACCAATGACAAAGAGGATGTTGAACACAGCAGAGCCCACAATTGTGCCAATGCCCACATTGCTGTGGGAGATGAAAACTCCAATGAGTGAGGTGAAGAGCTCAGGAGCAGAACCACCAGCTGCCATGAAGGTGGCTCCAGCCACATCCTCAGAGATCTGTAGCTTATTGGTGATGACCCCCAAAGCTGGGACAAAGTATTCATCACACACAATGGCCAAGGCCACAAACACATATATCATTCCAAAGAGGTGTAGGACCACCCAACCCTGCCTCCGCTCCTCTATACTGAACAGGTCTGGAGGGTATTCCGCCTTGGGGTGAAAGTCTAACAGCTTAGGGGCTGCAGGGGAGCTACGGCTAGCCTCATGAAGGAAAGGAGTCATGCCTGTTGAAGGGGAGAGGCTGGCAGGAACTGTTGGGACAGGTTCTACAAACACACAGTGCCGGATCTGGGTGGTAGGGGCAATGATACCCATGGCAGATAATGTAGTGCTATGTGCTCCTTCTCTGAGACTGGCTGTAGAGGTTCTCTTCGTCATCACCCTGGTTGAGGAGATTCTTGTTGTCAGTACTCTAGCTCTAGTTGGAGTATTCATGATACCCAATCCAGGAGAAGTATTGTTCTCCACTGATGTGCTGGGTACCATAGTGCTTATCTTCATCATTGTTTGGGGAACACTTGGGACATTTTCCTCTTCTCTTCTCTTAGAAGCATTTGAATTCTTCTTCTCCTCTACTGTCTTAGGAGCAGTTGGGGTGTTCTTCTCCCCTGCTCTCTTGGGGATAGTTGGGGTTTTCTTTTCCATTGCTCTCTTAGGGGAAGCTGGGGTGGTCTCTAATAATCTTTCGGGGCTAGTTGGAGTGTTCTTTTCCACTACTCTCTTGGGGGCAGCTGAGGTATTCTTTATCCTTTTAGGAATAATTGGAGTTGTTTTTTCCACTACTTTTGTTGCAGAAGGTGAGACAGTGTTCTGTATTATTCTTTTTAGAATAGTTGGGGTGTTCTCAATTATTTCTTTAGGGGTCCCTGGGGTAGCCAGAAGCTTCTTTTCCACCGTTTTCCTAGTTGTCATTGTGTCATTGTTTTTCATTGTTGCCTTGGGGGTAATCATATAGTCCTCAGTTCTTTCAGGTGTAGTTGAGGTAGGGTTCTGAAAATTTCTACTGAATGTGGTTGGAGTATAGTTCTTCACTATTTGCTTGCCTGTTGTTAAGGTATAATTTTTCTTCCTTCTCCTAGGTGTCACTGGAGTCACTGGAGTAGAGTTATTCACTATTCTCCTGGGTGTATTTAGGTTTTCTTTGCCACAGTTGCTGGGAGTGTTAACTTGTCCCTGTCTTCTGTAACTTGGGGATTTAGAGTACTGCCTTCCATTTCTAGACTGGATTTCTGATGGTCACTGTCCAATGTTACTGTTTCACTGTTAGGAAGGTCCCGGCTGGCCATTTTCACAGGGTGCTGGGAATACATGGCTGTCCATAGTGTAGGCAGGGCCCACTGGCTCCTCAAAAACTGGTAAGTAGAGCCGATGAGTACCATGCCCAAAAGGAAAAGGACTCGACTCCATTGGAGCCTCTTCCGTCGGGTTAACCGCTTCTCCTGTCCCCAAAATTTAATCCGTTTCCCCATTATGACCAGTAGATCTTAGAGAAGGATTCTTATTCCAGCCATTGGAAAATAGGGTTGGCTCCAGGATTTGGGGAGGTCATTAGGGAAAGGTGAGTCATGAATCCCAGGAAGTGTCTGCAAACCTGAAAAAGAAGGTATTTTCCTCTAAGAAAGGAGATGGAAAAAAAGCTTTTAGAAAGGATACGGAACTCTAATTATTTGTAAATGAGAATACCAGCCTCAGAGACTCCAAGATTTATGTCACAGCCCTTAATGACAAGTCCCCTGACGTGAGAAGAGTCTCATCCAATAGGGCAGTGGGGTATATGCTTGAAAGGAAGCAGTAACCTGTCTAGTTTATCCTTTCTATGAGAAAAGCAGCAACAGCATGGCCTGCAATAACATGGATACTACCAGTTGGCCTCTGGAGATAGACCCAGGATGTTCTAAGAAGGGCAATTAAAAGATTATCAGAACCCCAAGGGGCCTCAGATATAATTTTCTAAGCCCTCATTTTATAGATGAGGAAGGCAAAGCCCAAAGAATTTAAGTGACTTTTCCAAGGTCACATAGCTAGTGAGTGACAGGTCCTGGACTCAAACCCAGGTGTCCTGATTCCCAGGTCCAGCGCCCTCCCCCCTCTCCAATGCTGCCTTTCTTCGTGCTCCTTACCCTCACTACTCAATCGCTTTTTTCCGGCCTCTTCTTTAAGGATAAGGCAAAAGCTGACGACATTCAGCTTCTGATGTTCCCCATAGACATTGGGAAGGGCTTTGCTAAGAGTGGGAGAAAAGTAGAAAAGGGAAATTCTATCTGAGAGAGACAGCAAAAAAGGAAGGCCAGGCCTGAGAAGGCTGAATGATTCCATTTGTCTGCTACCCTAGAAACAGTCTGTGTAAATCAGCAAAGACAAAGAGGCTTGGCACTCAAGTGGTAATTAACATTTCCTAAGCAATTGCTTGAGGGCTCTTGAAGCTGAAGTGCAGCAGTAATTAAGAGGTCTGAACTTGAAACTCATAAGAACCTGGGTTCCCTTGCCTTTAGTCCAATACTCTTTCTACAAATTAAAGAAATGAAAGTAATTTTTAAAGCTAAAAGAAACCAACAGAAGACAAGGCAATGCATAATTTTAACTTACTCAACTCTTTCATGCAATCTTCCTTTCAAAGAGATACTTACAACCTGCCAGGTCTTTTGTCATGTGTTACACCAATGCTTTCCATATTTGAACCTCATAAGGAAAATTCTAAAGGTTGTTATAGCAGTTCCCTTTCTACTTTAGGCTTATGCTATATTATTCAAGTGTCAAACTAATTCCTGAGATGAGCCAATATTATCAAATTGCCAAATTTACCTTCAAACCATGATATCCAAGTTGGAAATGTGGACCATTGGTGGAAACTTCTCAGTTCTGGAAACTCTCTGGACTCCCACTCTCAGAGAGTAGAAGTGAGATTGGAGAAGGCTGGTAGTGAATTCTCCCATTCTCATTCCCCTCTACTTCCAGCTGAGTATTAACACGAGGCAGGGTCGGGTATGAAGGGCATATCAGTGGAAGGATATCCAATCCCATCTAATACCTGCTGCCCTTAAGAAGCTTACAGGGTATTGAACAAGGCTCAGGTGCTGGTGCCTCTGGATGAGCTTGGGGGAAATAGATCTGCTCTCTTTTGACCCCGGAAACTAGTGGGGGAGGAGACAGAGCTCTTTCTAGCTTGCTTCCAATTGGTAATTGGAAATTACTCTGGGTTTTCATATTCACCACTGTTGTCACAGGAAAGGGAAGGAAGCCTGGATTGAGTGGGGGCTCTAAGAGAAAAGGGAAAGGACTTCTTCAGAAAGCAGAACGGAAAGACATAGAAAATATTGGCTTCGGGTCCAGGAGGAATCCTTTGAGATAGGGTGAATTGATGTCCTCAGATCCACCTAGGCAAGTCCCTAGGACACTAAGCTAACTGAGCTGTCCCCTAGTTTGGCTGGGATATTCAGGGACCCTGTGTGGACTGTATGCTAGGAGTTCAGTGGACTCCTTGCAATCTGAGAAAGGTCTATTCAACTAACCAAATAATTTTCATTTATGTTTATTGACTGCTCCCAGAAAGTGTTGTGGCACTGTGCTGAAGGCTATTCTCAGCTATAGACATGCTTTCATAAATCCCTGACCAGTCCTCAACCTCCACCCTCCCCTACACACACACACACACACACACACACACACACACACCACACACACACACACACACCCCAGCAAGAAACTTAAACTTAAGAAGAGATCGTTAGCTCCCTCTGCCAAACTTGAGAGCACCTTCCCTGCTCTGAGGTTCATAAGCTTCCTTTGGATGGTAGACACTTGGCATAGAGGGATGGCAGAGGGCCACTGAGTTTGTCTTTTTCTCTGGAGGCAGTCCTGCACATAGGCAAATGACATCCCTCCAAAAAAGGAATGCCATATCCTACCAAGATATATGTACTTTTAACCTTTGTTTTCAAAGAGGTTTTTTGTTTGTTTTTGTTTTTCTGACGAGTTATTTCAGGACCCTGGCTAGATACCATCTTAGAGACGCTGGGATAAAAGAAAAATAGGTGTTTCTTTTCTCTCTCCTGCCCCTGGTGGCCAATCCATGATCACCACTCTTACAGACGAGAGTTCACCTCGAAAGAATTCAGGACACACAGGTTTAACTGAAGATGAGTACTGAGCTGTCAGCCTGAGCTGACCTTTGCCTAAGCTATTGTGGTTGTTCTAAAATTCAAGCCACAGACTATCTGAAGACAGAATCTGGGGGCTATTCATCAGTCTCCCCAGAATTAATGAAGATTAGCATTTTTATTGTCAACACTTTGATAGAAGGACAATACAAATAAATCACTTTTTAAATAAGAGAAACAAAATTATTTATTTCAATATGTCAAATTTCTGTAATTTTTAATTGCAAGTATGGGTACCTGATTCCCTGACACAGAACACATTCACACACACACACACACACACACACACCCCTTTGTCACAAGTGAGGTACCATAGGAAAGAATGATGGATTTGGAATCAGAGGACCTATGTTCCAATTCCAGCTCTGCCACCTAAATGACCCTGAGTACATCACTTCACCCCTTTCAGCCTTAGTTTCCTCATCTGTAAAATGTGAGGGTTGGACTAAATGGCCTCTAGAGTCCCTTCTAACTTTCAATCTATGACCCTATGAATTGCTGGTCAGTCTTCTAGAGATGAACCTCTCTGAACTAAACCAAGCAAGAAGCATTTATTTGTTTGTTTATTTATTTATTTTTGGTGAGGCAATTGGGGTTAAGTGGTTTGCCCAGAGTCACACAACTAGTCACCACCTAGCTGCCCCTAGTGAGAACCATTTAATCTGTTACTGGTTCTGTAATTTAAAAAAAAAATTGCAGCCTGGAGGACCTGTCAGAACTTATGCTTGGTATAGCCTTCGATGACCCACTGTTACCTCTGCTCCTCAAAGAAGTATCAGAATAGGGCTTTATTGGAGGACATACAAAATTATAGACATGTTAACATTAATGTTCCAAAAGACCAGACCATGGACTACCTGGATGACCCTTGTGGACAGCTATACTTTAAGAACTAAATTCCTAAGTGACAAGTGAGGATAGAACACTATAATTTTCTGTACCTAGTCATACCAGGTAACAGACAACAATGAAAGAGCAACCTGGAACCTCCATAAATAATGAGATCAAGGACTGGCAAATCGAGAGAATTGTCCTCTGCTAGTATCAAGCTATAGAAAGTGGATCAGCTATACATTTTATAGTCCCTTTTCAAAATTAGCTAGATGCACTTAATATTTTAAAGAGACCTTTCTGTCTGTAACACAGAAATTGAACCTGGTCTTGAGTCAACCACAGGAAGTAGACAAATAGTATAGCCCACACCAACCTCCAACTGTGAAAACTTCCAGGGAAGGAGAGAAGTTAACTCCAGGCCTGAGTTTGTTCTCTTAGACTTATTCTCTTGATTCTTTAAAACCTACCAGCCAGTTTTCTTTATCCCTAGGGCCATACACAACACACAATAAAGATAGTCTTTGCCATAGATATAGAATACAGCCCCTTCCGGCATGCTGTTCTGTTAGTTATCCTCAGAGAATAAGTGCACCTGTCTAAGAAAGGATAGGAATATTGCATAGAGATGGGTGTCCAAAAACAGGGAAAAAGGATGACATTTCCTACGGCACTATTAGGAAAATCTGGATCTAGCCTCTTGCAAGAAATGAGAATTAGAGGAATCTTTTTTTTTATTTGTTTTATAACATGGGTGATAGGGCAAAGCATATTCAGTAGCCCCTTCAGGTGGGCCACATGATCTGACTCTGCTTAAAGGATATTTGAATCCTGATTGGTTCCTTGATCCTTGTGGCTGGGGACTCAGGTGTAGGTGACTGGCAACTGAGCCAAGGAGAGTCATTCACCTAGTAGGCTATAAGAAGAACTGAAGAAACAATTCCCTCTCTCCCTCTCCCTCTTCCCCTCCCCCTCCCTCCCCCCAGGTGGCCTTTTTGTTGGGACACAAAACCAATTCCCCCTTGGACTTCCAATGAAGGGGAAAAGGGATTTCTTTCCCGGCCCACCGCCTCAGGCAATAATGCCAACTGAACACACAAAGCAGTAAGAACAAGTTGTTGCCTAAGTAAGCCTGAACTGGACCTCATGTCCTTGGCTGCCTCTTTTGGGTTTTGTTTGTTTCTTTCTTTCCTTGAACTCAGGTCACTAAGCAGAAATCCTAAGAAATGTACATTTCTAGTCTTGTTAATAACCTTGTGAGTAAAGTGGTTGGGAGACAGTTGATCAGCATGGAGTGGTTTCCACAACCACTCCTCAGAAGAGATGACCATCACCACCAGGAGAATGCTGCGGCAGAAAGAACTAAAGAAACAAAAACAAACCATGCCCCTGGTTTGATAGGAGACTTGGACATATGCTGCACAGACAGCACAGGTCAGAGGTGAAAATCAAATACCTATTCTGCAGTTTTTGTTAGGTTATCTTTACCTCCCAGGAGAATATAATAGGTGACGGCTTATTGTTTCATGTTTTAAGTATTTATTCATTTAAGTAGTTGTCAATATGTGCTCAGGAGTCTTTTGAGCATTTCTTTTATGGAGAATGAAATAAATAGTTGTCCTATACCTGATACATATGTAGATGTAGCTATAGATAAACATACAAAAATATATATATGCATACTATACACATATATAATTTTGTACAGTGAGAACCTTTCTAGAAGGCATATTGTTAATCCTTTTTATGGGAGATCCTGGATATGGACATTGCTCCAAACTGTTCTCCAGAATGGTTGGATTAGTTCGCAGCTCCACCAATAGTGCATTAGTGTCTCAATTTTCCCATATCCCTCCACCATTTGTCATTTGCTTCTCTCTCATTCTAGCCAATTTGATAGATGTGAGGTGGTACCTCACAATTGTTTCAATGTTCATTTCTCTAATCAGTAGTGATTTAGAGCATTTTTTCATATGACTATAGATAGCCTTGATTACTTCATCTGAAAACTACCTGTTCATATCCTTTGACCATTTATCAATTGGGAAGTGACTTGTGTTCTCATAAATTTGATTCAGATATATATGAGAGATAATGTCAGAGATACTTGATGTAAAAATTGTCTTCCCACTTTCTGCAGAAATACTTTTATAAAAGATAGTGACAAAGTTAATTGGAATCTAGATCTTTTTTTAATGTTCTTTGTTGCTTCAGTAATCTACCTAGTCCTGAAAAAATAAATACAGGGAGATTTTGTAAAAAAAAAAAAAACAGAAAAATAAGAAGGGAAATTTGCAGATGATTAAAAGATATTGGTTTGTAACTGGGATTTCCTTCCAAGTTTTATGCTTGAGACTTAACCTTGATTCAGGGGGAAAGCAATTCAGGTAGCTGGCCTAGCCCTAGTTGTTACTGTTGACTTCTTCCCATAATATTGATAGCACAGTGGGGAACTTGACAGCACTGTATCCTGAGACCAGGGAAGTTAAAAGAGACAGAGATGGGGGAGGAAGGGAGAGAGAGAGAGAGAGAGAGAGAGAGAGAGAGAGAGAGAGAGAGAGAGAGAGAGAGAGAGAGAGAGAAAGGAAAGAGGGAGAGAGAAGGAAAGAGGGAGAGAAGGGGAGAGATCAAGCTAAAGAAAGGAGGAGAGAGACTGGTGGTAAATGCTGACTGATTAGTTTTTCACCCTCATGTTTTTTTCTCCCCCTTCCCTTTGGCTCCTGATTCTTTGGTCTTATCCTTCTTTTGAAAGACATTCTGCTTTTCAATGATCCTGTTGGCTGCTATTTCAAAGGAGGGGAGAAAAGGTAAGAGAGGTGGGAAGCACAGAGGAAAAGACTTTTTATTGATTTCCAAATTGTTCTCCAGAATGGAAGTGTAGCTAA